TAAGGTATCCACATAAAACCTGTTACTGTTCTTTGAATTATGCTCAAAATTCAGGTTTTAACATCTTACAGGGGCAACTAATTCCACAGATCAATTACGCCTTAACGCGAACTTGCTGACTTCACGTCAGTGATGATCTGCTGGCTGTAGCATTAACTCCCTGATACAGGTGCTTCGAGTTACTCGTGTTATCTAGGAGAAGCTTTCCTTTATTCCTGCTCTAAGCTTTCAAACTCCCTCCAGTTTTGCAACAAGAGTATTGAATGCTGGTTACTTATTCTCAAAGCTGTATTCTAGATGAGGATGAATATGAAGAATAACATTCAGCAGTACGATCAATCAGTAACAGCGGCTTCTAAATGCATCTCCCCATAGCTAATATGCGGTACTCAAACCGACTAGTTTAGGACACTGGCAGGCAAACACCTAAGTACCTTTAACATTCTCAACTTGTAAGGAACTGACCATAATTCAAGACCTTTAACCTCCAAAGGCAAGTAAGAAGGAACATGCTACACACATACAGAACAAACCGCAGAGAGATAAGATATAGTTCTTGTTTATTCTGCCTTACGACGAAAGGGCATGGGGGCATGAAAAAGTTGTTGAAGGTGGCAAATTGGAATCATCCAAATTGAAATACTGCAGACCTTAGATGTAAGTGTAAGATAGGGGACTGCCACTAAACATTACTGAAATCGCATTACATGTGACTTTCAAGAAAAGGTGCAAACAATGACAGGATAAAAATTTAGCACACGTGCATGGAAGGTGCTCCTGAAAACAGCAGATAGTGCAGCAAAAAAGCCAAAGTCTCAGTATGCCCCAGTATTGCTGTCTTACAGACAAGCAATTATTTTCCTACACTGTAGGGCTGTTATAATCAGAGCCAGAATATAAGCAAGCTTCAAGTCAAATTCCACCTTTTTCTCCTGTCAAGTGCACAGCCTGCAAACCATCTCACAGAAGAGACTGAAAACAAGCAAACAAAAAAAATCACTCCCTAACCCATTAGCCTTACAAGCTCTTCCAGAATCATGAATGATTTGGATCATGAAATGGAAATGCATCTTCGGCATCAGTATCATTACAAGCTCTTCCAGAATCATGAATGATTTGGAAATGCATCTTTGGCATCAGTATCGTTGCTTTGAGAGTGGTTACCTTATTAGTAGTGATCAGATTAATAAGAATTAAGGTGTCACCATTCTATAGTCTAGGACAACAGCTGAAATGCACGTTCCTAATCTGTTGCAGTGTGTAACAACAAACTGCC